CCCCCCCCCAGATTTATGTCTGACGGTGTCCTCTAATTTCTCATCTTTCTCTTTTTTTTTTCCGACAGTATGTGTCCCTTCCACAATCTGTACCGTCCTGGTTTGCCATGTAAGGTGACAAAAAATCTTTAGTAAAACAGAAGACGTCGATGCTATCTGTGGAATGCTTACATTGTTTTGATTGGAAGAAAAAAAAAACACTTTATTTGCCACTGTGATGTTTGCAGCCATGGTGGGGTTCAAAGGAACAAGTAACCGTGCAGACTGCAGTGCCTATGTTACCAATCATAAATCGGAAAAAAAAAATAATAATGAAGACACAAAAAAAAAAAAAAATAATCACTGAGTTTTCTCCGCGAAACAAACACAGTTGACGAGACGTGACGGTTAATTGTTCTGTAATGTTGAGGAGCTCATCACAATAATAATAAAATTTAAAAAAAGAGAGAATGTAGAGAAATAATATATGGCATTTGCTCTAACCTGAATAAAGGTAAGTGTAAAATAAAAACATGAATACTACTTCTGTGATTCAAAAGGTGACTTCAATTTGGCACTTATTCATTTATTTTTACATTTTTTGAAATTGATAAAATTGTTTACACTTGAGCTCATAAATGACTGTTAAAATTCGTTTTTGCGGGTTCCAGACAGTTTCATGTGTGATTAATAAACGTACCTTTTTTTTTTTTTGCATACTGAAGCCTATCCCAACTGTCTTCGGGCAGTAGGCCAAGTACACCCTGAACCGGTTGCCAGCCGAACGAGTCGACCACCATGCCGCCCCTAAATATATATCCAGATTTTTCTGATTATAAGCCTGTTACTCGCCATCTCCCCCAAGTTCTGCGCCCCTCTCTATGTGGCACGCGACTGGCTGGCAAACAGTTCAGGGTGTACCCTGCCTCTCACCCAAAGTCAGCTGGGATAGGCACGGCCAACCCGCAACCCTGAACAGATTCACGTTCAAGAAAGATGGATGGATGGGTTACAGTCGATGATTATGTTTCTCCCTTCTCTGTAATTACGACACATACTTTAGCTATAGCTATAACTTGAATTCAATTTCAGGATTCGGGGGTTGATGTTTTTGGGCATGTTACAATTGTGGAAGAATAGGGTCAGTAAATCATCCAAAAGTCCTGCGCTGTTTCTTTTCACCCCCGCCCGCCCCTGTCTCACTATTTCCCTTCTATGCAATTTCATTTGATTTCTCACCAGAGCCTCGAAACAACACAGAGTGCCATGGCAGCTATGTCTTCATACAAATCTTTCCGCCTGTTCTGGCATTGTCGGGGAAGCTCATCCCGCCTGCCTGTGTGCTTCATTTCTCCTCTTTCTCACTCTTTCCTACAGTATACGTCCCTTCCGCTGAGAGCTCAAGAGAGTGTAGAGGAGGTCCGGCCAAGGCTAACATGTATCTATGATGTGTTCGTCTCAGGCAACCCCCACTACTCGCCTCCCCCAGAGGAGTGGGAAAGCTGCTCTGGTTCGTTGGCACAGCGGACAATGTGGGTGTTGTGTGGATGAGTTGGCTGGCTGTCCTCTTGCAGGCTGCAGAGTCAATGCGGGGCCACTGCTGAGCGGCCGCCTGTCCTGCTGGTCAATAAAACCCTCCGTCATATATTTTTTCAAGTGGTCTTCCTTATTTGTCTTTCATGATGTTTTCTTTCTAAAGTCAGGACTTTTTCTTCTGCCCTCCGCACTGGATATGATCTGTTCTCACCCTGTAGCTTAATAGACTTTTTTTTCCTTTTTTTTTTATTTTTTTTTTTTTTATGAGTTTGGGCGACTGCGTGCGTGCGTGCGTGTGTGTGTGTGTGCCTGACTACATGAAAGAAGTTTCTTTTCAGCAACGACACACGGCGGATTGAGACATCAGGCGCCTGTGGTAAATTAGCCATTGTACGCAGGGGCTAATTAGAAAACCTAAATGTTTTGCGCAGCCAGAGAAGCACCGCAAAGGAGCGACGTCTTGCTGGGAGTGGAAAATTAGATTCTAGATTTTGTTTGCTCCTGACATTCATTCATCGGGTTCGTCCGATCGGTCACGACATGGAGGCAGGATGCAAAAGAACAAAACGTAACAACTGAATCCTGAAATGCAGTCGACAATGTGAATAGCTTCGGTGCCTTTTCCATTCTTAAACACACCTGCATAGTCTATTAATTAAAGTGCCTTGATCAACGTAATTCAGCTTATAAATATGAGGTGGAACAAATGCCAACATCGCTAATTGACTCATTCATCATGGGACCTTGTTGGTAAATGTTTCTGCTCACTTGAGTAATTTTAAAGGAATGAAAATCCCTCCGCCAACTTTCACGCCTAATCATAAAGTATTTCATTCATAGAACTATAGTGGGCAAATATGCACGATTGGAGTTCAATGTTTAAATTTAACTCATCACAAAACTAAAGTTCCCTGCAAACTAATCAATCAAGAATTGTGGATTTTTACTTTCTTTTTTTTTTTTTCAAGTTGATTGATGAATTGTGTCTTGAAGAAACGGTGTGCACTACATGATTGCAACCAGCAGAGGCGCCGATGAGTCTGTCTCATCTCATTTGCGGTGTCAAGAAGAAGAATAAGATGAGCTTTGAGATGCGGCGCTCCAACACGACTTGTTAACTCCTTAAAAGTCAACATGACACCGGCAACGGAACAGAAGATGAGTCTTCTTCCATCCCTTTAAACGGATCTAGTCATGAAACTGCTTCAAAATCAAAGAAATATCAGAGAACCTCAGTTCACGAAGGCTGCTGCTCACAAACAAACTAATTTATGAACACAATATTTGATAAATATTTCATCAGGTCGCAGTCTCAGAGACAGACAGAGAAAAGTCGCTCTGGTTATTTGTGCCTTGTGTCATTTCTTGTGGAGATCCAAATATTTTTGTTCCTTTTTTTTTTTTTTCGTTTGCTCTTAATTACCCCTTAATATGGCTCCGAAAAAAGTGAAACAGGCAAGTGACTCGCTCACGTACGCGCAGTCGGTGAAAAATTGCTTCAGTTATTTCGGTTCACGAATTGAGTCGAGGGACGAATTAAAGACGCGAAACGAGAATCCACCGTATGTCCAAAAGCAAAGGCGTGCGGTCAGGGGAGGCAGGTGAGGCAGAGCCTCACCTCTGAATGCGTATTGCATTGCGCAATCTTCACAAACTGGGTCGATACGTGCAACTGGCTCGTGCTGCTTGCCGTATAGCTGCATGTCGCAAATTTAATGTTTAGCCAATTGAATAAGCTACCCTTTTTTGCTTTGTATATTAGTAAATCTGACACCAAAGGAGTCAGTGCCTCACCAACCATGCACCTCGCCGCACGCCATTGGTCCAAAGTATGACTTTAATTGTCGTAAATAGATACCTCTCAATATCATTGCGGGACATATCGACTCGTGATTAAGGTAACGTGCATGTATTTTGAGGATTAAAAAAGAAAACCTCTCGATCAAGCATGACATCTGACAACCGACAAAGTTCGAATTTGCTGAAAGACAGAGATGCGCTTTTACGTCGACGGAACAAATCAGCGCTTGACTCCGTCAGCAGCGACGCGGCACACAAAGCATCTCCTCAGTGCAAAAAGCCGATGTCCCCCTGGCAAACATCTTGTCAAAGTGTGACTGTTTTCACCAAAGAGAAGACCGAGTGTGAATGTGAACAAAGTGCCGAAAAGTGTCTGGCGGGCGCGCAGCGATGGGCGGCGCTCCCCCGTTGTCGGGGGCGAGTCGGAGGTGCTGGGAAAATGTGTGGCGCATTCACAGTAAATAAGCTCTTGTGAGTAACCGTGGAGAGTGTGCTTCTTAACTGATGATGCCCGAGACAACTTCCCGGATCTTCTCTGCCACACTGAGAGCCTCACAATACGAAAGACCTACTGCAACGTTGAGAGCGAGCCGCGGAAAGTCACTCAGTGTCCTTTGGCCTCAGCTGTGAAAACAAGTCCGAACAGTATGAACCGAGTTTTATCTCATTCTTCTTAATTGGCGACAGCAGGTTTATGCCTCCTTTTTTTTTTTCCTCTCTTCCCCCCTGCCCCCCCCCACCCCCCTCCTCTTTTCTGCTCCATATGAATACATGTGACAAGCTTCTGATCCCGGCTTTTCAGCCTATGACTGTTTATTTATCTATTTCAACTACACCCGAGGGAACAAAAGGCATGCAGAATGGCCAATGACAGCCATGTCGAATATCTCTTTCGGCCAATTCTGGCTGTTTTCTCTCACTGCCGTCACTTGATGTCTTTATGCGGGCTTGAGAGTTCACTGCCGTGAAAAGGGTAAGGGGGGTGAGCTGAGTGAGTGACCCTCGCAGGAGGGGTGTATTAAATGTAAGAAAAAAAGAAAGAAGGGCAAGAGATGGACGAACCAGAAGGCGGTAAAATAGTCGAGATGGGGGGGGGATGAGGGGCACCCCTGCCGAGGCCCAGGCATCTCGCCTGGCAGGCCCCATCTTGGCTTCAGACGGCTTTTGTCAGCGAGGGAGAAAGAGGGTCTCTTCTTCACTTGGGCACGGGACAATAGACGTTTTGTCAGTCGGGATGGAGGTGTCAATGGGTGAGTATGGAGGGATGCTGAAAGAGGAAGAAAGCCAAGGACCCATCTTCACATGGGGTGGGGTAGCGGTGGAAGGCAGAGCCCGTTGGGACGGGGGAGGGAGGGCAGATGTTGGAATGAGGATGATTTATTAGCCTTAGTGTCCTTGGTGGCACTTGGCCACCGTCCCAGAATTAGGAAGCGAGAGACCGGGTGAGACCGAGAGACGTGGGGAACAAGCAAGAGGGGAGGGCGGTCATGAGACATCTTAATTCCTTCTTTGGGCATGGGGTGCCTCTTGCTCTCCGACCGTCATGGTATTTCAACCCGATTCTCTCCGAGAAAAATAACTTGCGCCGTAGTCGTCTGCATCACTGAGCCGCACCTTGTCCCCCGGACATTATTCAGTGCAAATATTTCCCCGAAAGACCCCCTCACCGCTCGCTCGGCCCCACATAGGATCCTTATCGCCACTTTTCCACATTTTCTACTTTTCCACTTCAAGAAAGGGCCTTTAGAAACACCCCCCACCCCTCCAAAAAAAAAAAAAAAAAATCACACATTGAACGCATCATTTGGACCGAGACATGCAAACAAACAGCAGCAATAGTGGAGAACAAGGCTCTCCTGTATTTACTTAACGACTTGTTTATTTGAGAGGAGACTGAGGTCACCAAGAAAACGGACCACTGCTGCAAGGTTGGGACGAAAAGGCCCAGCAGCAGGATAAGCTATCTGTTTATTTGCTATTTTATTAGCTGCCAAGGTAGCGATAGCTAACATGTTGTATCTGGAAGATTCTACTCATATCATTCAATTCGTCACTCTTTGGTTAGTGCGTCGACTTCACAGTGCAGAAGTCGTGGGTTCGATTCTGGCTCCGGCCTTCCTGTGTTGAGTTTGCATGTTCTCCCCGTGCCTGCGTGGGTTTTCTCCGGGTACTCCGGTTTCCTCCCACATTCCAAAAACATGCGTGGCAGGTTAATGGAACACTCGAAATTGTCCCTGAGTGTGAGTGTGAACGCGAATGGTCATCCGTCTCTGTGTGCCCTGCGATTGGCTGGCAATCTGTTCAGGGTGTCCCCCGTCTACTGCCAGAAGACAGCTGGGATAGGCTCCAGCATGCTCCGCAACCCTTGTGAGGCTAAAGCGGATCCGAAAACGGATGGATGGATTCTTTGGTCTTGTTTAGACTTTTGCTTCCAAATTTTGCCCTCCTCCCAGCAACATTTAATATTAGAACTTGTTTTCTCACTGTGTAACAAAGCCCTCCACGGACAAACTGGAGGAGGGCTTACTTGAAGTTGTAGTGGGGGGAATTTTGACAGCTTTCATCAAGACCACCCTGGGCGAAGATTGATTGGCAAAGTAATATAGTGCCCGGTGTCCATTCCCTTCTTACTCCCTCGCCCTTTTACTGGTGCATGTATCCATCCACTCAATGGCGTCCAACTCCTTGCCAACACCTGCTGCCCGGAGGTGAAGGTCACATTCAGAGTGAGTCGTATTGAGTGTGTGTGTGTGTGTGTGTGTGTGTGTGTGTGTGTGTGTGTGTGTGTGTGTGCGCATCCACAATGGTGCGCGCGTCACGTTTGAATGCTGGAGTCGTGCTCGCCACTGGCACCGATGGAAAAATGGTCTCAGGGTTTGACGAGGAGATTGACAAGCTGGCTGCAAAATTGTGTGAATGCAGCACGCATACGCATGTGCAGACAAACAGCGGGTGACTGTTGGAGGTCTCGTGAGGTGGAGGGAGGCGGGGTGGGGGCGGCTTTTGACATGAGTGAAAGGGAGGGTAATTTATCATTTGGAGCGGACGACTGAGGAAAAGCCGGAGGAGAAGTCAAATGAAAGCGGAGAAAAGGTTGCGGGGGGTTAAGTCTGCGCCACTCTTGCTGTCCGTTGATCTCGGGCTGTCATCGTCATCCTCATCATCATCATCATCATCATCATGGTGACTGACCACTTCCTGCTGTCCACTTCAGCCCCTCCGTGTCCGTTCTCCCTTCACCAGCTTCTTTCCAAAGGGCCCCCGGAAACGTTTGTTCTGTTCATTAGTACAACAAATATATACAGATGATCCAGGAAGGAGAACGAGGTGGGGGTGGGGGGGTTAGATTTGCGAAGCGGAGACTCCCCAGCTCAACATCACTGCTGATTTGGAGGCAATCCGCTTCTTTGTAAACAAATCTGAAACAGCTCCTGACAACCGTAGAAAACGAATTAAACAAATTAAAAAACTGGTTCGACAGAAATAAATTGTCACTTAACCTGAAAAAATCGAACTTAATTGTTTTTGGCACCAGACCAATCAAACACCAAGCTAAAATTATGGTAAACTCAATTGAGATAGAAAGAGCGTATGAAACCAAGTTTCTCGGATTAGTAATAGATTCAAAACTATGTTGGAAGCCACATATCGATAACGTAAAAAGAAAAATAGCCAAAACCATAGGGATCCTCTACAAAACCAAGGAAGTGCTAAATAAGGGATCTTTGTACACATTATACTCTTCATTATTATTACCATATATGACCTACTGTGTGGAAATATGGGGAAATGCCTGCAAAACAAACACACTCCCTATTTTAAAACTACAAAAAAAAGCAATTCGAATTATTAATAAATCGAAATATACGGAACCCACAAATCCATTATTTATCAAATTAAATACGATGAAATTTCATGACCTGGTTGACTTTAAAATCGCCCAATTAATGTACAAAGTACACAATAACCTGCTCTGCCAAAACATTCTGAAGTTTTTCGAAATTCGAGAAAGCAGCTATGAATTAAGAGGTACCAACTTATTCAAAAAACTCAAAACAAGAACAAACATCAAGCAAAGAAGTATATCTAACAAAGGTGTTAATCTGTGGAATAATTTCGAAACGGACCTGAAAATGAGTAAATCGCTTGCTGAGTTCAAAAACAAATTCAAAAAAATAGTACAAACTACCTACAACAATCAGAGTTAAAATGATAAATTCTAAACATTAAATATAATGAATCAGAACTAGGTTGATAAATAGAGAAAGGTATTGAAATATCCATTATGAATACAAGAGAAAATTAACACAAGAGTGCCAGGGTGTGTATGTATAAATTCCCGATACAAACCAAAAGTATAAAAATATCACGGTTAAGGGTAAAGCATGAGCCTTAATGGAGACTTCTTTCTTCTTACTCTGTTTCTTTTCTGATTGATATAAAAATGATTCAATAGATATAAACATACAACACGGGGTAGGACTAGATAAGTTCTTTACTTCTTCCTACTCCCTTGAACATAATAACTGTGTTGAATGATGACTAATTTCTCTTTCCTCTTTACTATTTTATTTACCTTATTTTCTGTCAAATTATTACTGTATATGTTTTATGTTCAATAAACAAACAAACAAACAAAAAAAAAAACAAACAAACACAAATCTGCGTAGCTCATGCGAGAAGGGTTCTCATCATTCAATGGAAACGTGGACGGCGACGTGTTTTAAGGCGACATTAGCGATCTGCGGTTTTCCTCCCTCGTTACGCTTCGCGATGGAAAAAGGAACGTAACTAGCATGCGACAGTGAAGTGGACATCAATGAGTCATGAGAAACCGACATGCCGGAGGGTCCGAGAGAAATGGCGGATGTGCCGATGTAGCTGTCGTCTGTGCGTCAGCACGTTTGAGGAATTGTCCCCGATGGCAAATGTCAGCATTGCCTCTCAAGAATCAATTTTAATTTCACCACCCCCCCCCAAAATAAATAAATAAACAGAAAGCTTTGATGACCTCACACGGTACATTCCGGTTAATGACTTTTGCCGTCGAACTGTGTTGGTCAGCAAAAATGATCGGTTTCCCTCGTAGGTTAGTTGCAGGTTTAAAGGAAGGCAAACTGAAGACTTTTCGAGCTCTTTTCAAGGCCACTTGCATGCGTTGAAGACCCCATTCATCAAAACTGACCACTGAGTGGCTCATCGGGGCTCAATCGTGTCTCGCAATAATTAAAGAGATGTTGCGAATAAGCGATTCATATCTTTATACTGTAAAAATTAACTTTCACAGTGATTTAGGAGTAATTGCAGGCAAATTTCAATGTCTCACATTATTACTCGCTTTTGAACAGAACATAATACAACAATGGTACGTGTGTCGGCCATTTTTAGGGCTTTGGAATGGCGGCTTTTAGGATCAAGTCTCCTTTTTGAAGAAAGGCTGTCATGTTGTAAAATCCAATCCAAAACTTTTGACTGTGAATGTACGTCCTATAAATATTGAAAATAAATGAGAATGCTCTGACGGGAACAGGACAGTCGAGCATGGGACAATGACTTTGTACTTGGGACGTGGGAAGATGGGCGCAGGGGTCACAAAGACTGGCATACAGATGCCTCAACCCGCGCCATCCCCAATTTTTTTTCTTTTTTTTTTTTTTTATGACTCAAAGGACTGTTTTCTTCTCACTCCCATGAATTATGTAAATGGAAAAAAAGCTTCCCTTTCTTCCCAAGCTGGAAGAAGACAGGAAAAGGGATGAAGCAACGTGAGCGAAACGCCTCCTCCTCACTTTTTTTTTTTTTTCCTCTCTCTTCCTTGCGATGCGTCCGAATGAACTTTCATGTTGGGCGCCGTGGGCCTGGATTTTGCACTGCGGCCCATGAGAAAAGGACGGTGATGGCCACTGAGTTGGTGGAGGGGGCGGGGGAGAGACGGGGGGGGGGGGGTCTATGCACAATGACATATACGAGGAAAGAATGCTGGCCTTGTTGTTGGAGAGCTTGACATTGATTAATGAGATAGAGAGAGGAGAAAATAAGAGAGAGAGGGGTGGCACTGGTTGGGTATGCTCGACAAGGAGGGCGGAGGGGGTAGTCGGACTCCCTTAAGGGTGGGAGACTCCGGAAGAGCCTTAGGCTGCACTGATGATGAGGAAGATACTCGCTGTGGCGGTGTCACGGCCATCCCCACGGATGGTGCGTCTTGTCTGATGATTTTGGCCGGAAGGATCGTCTGCACACGAAGCCACATCAATCCTCATCCATCAAAGTGCCCTTTAAAAGCTGCCACCACCACCACCACCACCATCGCCGTGAGGACTTGCTTTGTTGGCACTTCTTCATACACACTTAAGAAGCTCAGCTGCTGTGCGGCGGCAGAACCAGGCAGCGCATTAAATGTGTTTTAAATAGTCTCGTCACCATGTTGCGTATGACATGCGGTGGCTCGCTGCGAATACTTGCCGCTATAAATAAGAGATGAGCAGATGAGACGGTCGGCATGATGGACTCTTTGATATTGAGAGTGGGGAGCAAGGACGGAGTGTACCGGATCGGTAATGATCAGTTGAAGTCATTCAAACAGATGGCCGCGCTGCGTGGCGGCGGTATTTTGTCGCCTTTCGGCCCACAGGATGAAAGGTTTTCCCTTCGAAACTCGACCCGTTTGCTACATCTTGCCGGAGACTGTGCGGAGCTTCGCAAAGTCTACGCTGTGAAACTATCCATGCATCCATGACTTGTACCGCTTGTATATTCACTCGAGTCAATAGAGAAAACCATCACGCAAAATAAACCCTTTCAGGGACAGCGGTTACTACAGTGGACAAGTTATCATGTGATCAGGTTTTACAGGGTGCGTGAAAGGCTTCATGAATTCTTTTTTGGGGTCCGTGTACCTGCCTTAATAAAGTTTAGAATCGACTTCATGTAGAATTACTTTGATCAATTGATTAAATGGAGTAATGCAATGCAATATCCATTATGAATACAAGAGAAAATCGACATAAAAATGTGCTGGGGTGTGTATGTATATACAGTAGTTCCTATACAAACACAAAAGTTGTAAAACTAGATAAGTGTAGCCCACGTAAGGGTCAACACATTTGTGTAAATGCAGACTTTTCCTTTTCTTTTCCTATTGATATCAAAAAATGATCAATGTGTATACTATTACATAACAAGGGGTAGGACGAGATACGTTTTTAACTTCTTCCTCCTCCTTTGAACAACTAATTGTGCTGTATGATGACTGTTTTCTTTTACTTTCTTACAATTTTACTCAAAAGTGTCATTTTATCGCCGTACCTAGATATTTTGGAGTTGATCATTTGCGTCATGAGATTCACGTAATTACACTTGTCACATGACGAATGAACCGTGGGTGCGGATGGCAGTTGCGTTTGTAAGGCTGAGAAGAGCAACTCTGGCGTCACAATTCCGAGTTTCGTGGGCACGAGTCTCCTCCCACATGTCAAAAAGAATGAGGTGGTTGCTCAGCATGGAAGATGGAAGGATTCGTTTTTAGTAGATGTTTGTCATTTTTTTCTCCTTAGCTAAACACGTGGTGTGGCACTGAGTCGAATTTGGATATCCTTAAAAATCGCCTTCAGAAGGGACAATTTTTTTTTTTTTTTTTTGCCAACATCTCGTTTTCTACAGCGTGAAAATTATAACCAATAGGCCACCAAACAATCAACATAATCTATTCAATCAATAAAATAGGGCATTTAATCTTTCTTGCGAAATGCAT